ATATATATATATATATATATATATATATATATATATATATATATATATATAATATAGTAACAAAAATAAGAAAGTAAAAAAACACTTTAATATATTTGGATAAAGTCATAACAGTAAAAGTAAGTTTTTGTATTGAAATAAAGTTGAAGCAATAGCAAGAAAGATATCATGAATATAAAACATATTTATCTAAAGTTAAAAAAAATATTATTATTTAATAGGATTTTCCCAAAAAAAACTTTTTTGAACAGTAAATGCCTAATGTGTTTCATATAATAAAAAACAACTGGTTTTTAAAAATTTTTGAAAAAAAAATATTTCAATGACTCCCTCAAGACCCTTATTTTTTTTTTATAATTATTAGGAACATAACAAGTTCCTAATAATTAAAAAAAAAAGTGAGTTATGTATAAATTATATCATAATGGTCATATCATAAGTATTATGTATAAATTATATCATAATGGGTCTCAAGTGAAGCAAAATTATATGAAAATTTCAAAACAAATATTGCCAAAAATTGGTAATAATGAACATTTTTCTTTTTTAGTTAATAAAATTCATTTTTATGGTGTTGAATCTAACATATTTTTAACCTACTTTTTAAGTATAAATATGCAAATAAATGCATTTAAACAGTTTATATATGCAAATATATGCACTAATACAGTTAAAAAAAAATACTTGCATCATAAAAAGCAGGTCTTTAATCACTTATTTTTTTATATTACTTGCAAAGAATTTTAGTGCGAAAAAATATTTGCATTTCAGGTTAAAAAAACTGTTTTTTTAAATTTTTTGAATAAAAATTTTTTTGATGACTCCCTCACAACCTTTAGGAACTTGTTATGTTTTATTTATTTAGGAACTTATTATATTTTATTTGAGTGTATCATATTGAGTCTTAAATGGAGCAAAATTATATGAAAATTTCAATGTTAGATTTAACACTATAAAAAATGAATTTTATTAACTAAATAAGAAAAATATCCATTTTTACCATTTTTTGGCAATATTTTATTCATATTTGACATTTTCGTGATTTCGCTTGTGTGCCGAAATGTCAAGATACACTTTTGAAGATTTTTTCAATTGATAATAATAGGAATTCTTTATATGTTTAAGGGACTCCAAAAATGATTTTTCTTCAAAAAAATTTTAAAACCAGTGTTTTTTTATCGTATAAAACACATTAGGAGGTGGCAGCTACATATATATATTTTTAAATATAGCTGCCAAAAGTTTAAAAATTTAAAAAAAATATCTTAATAATAAATAAGCTGATAGTAATAGAGTGCAATAACGGTTCCAATCATATGTTGAATTAAATATATAAAAAGCTATATACTCTTTTGTAATATATATATATATATATATATTTTTTATATACATACTACAAAATAAAAAACGAAATATCTTTATATTGCTTTTTATTTTATCTGCACTATGTATAGTGTTGCAGAAATAAAAAACATAATAATTCCAAAATTTTTTCTATAAATTTTCACATGCTCATATGTCTAAATTATATTTTGTTTGATTCCTGGCTCTTAATGTTATATTCCAATCATAGCATTTGTGATCTCCCAGAAGCATCATTTTCATCAATTGTGCTCATAAACAAGAGTTGGTAATTTTTAAAATAGTTTCAATACAAGATTTGCATAATTCTTTAACATAAGTTGTGTAAAGAATGGTTGCAGATGAAACTTTTGATCTGTATACTTTAGTAAAAAATCTACAATAATTATGTCACAAAAGCATTACACAAATAATGATCAACCTGCAAACATAATATAGAACTACTTTTAGAACTGTTTCCTTTATTAGTTTATGTGTTAAAGATGTTCCAGACTTAACGCCATTCCGTACGAAAAGTAATTTATATTTTGCCCTTTGCAGTTTTGTTTAACTGCAAATAAGTAAGCCAGATAAATCAAATATTAACATAACTAAAAACTAAAATATATATATATATATATATATATATATATATATATATAAAAAATTATCCTACAAGTAAAATTGCATAGAGATTATTATTAGATGAAAATATTTTATTATAGTTTGTACTAAAATTTGTTGAATATTGCAACAAAAAAGTAAAAAATGCAGTAAAAAAGAATACTCTTATGCTAAGACTTATTTTAAAAGAATACTCTTATGCTAAGACTTACTCCCTATTTTTTAAGTATAAATATGCAAATATATGCATTTAAACAGTTTATATATGCAAGTATATGCACTTATACATTTAAAAAATGCATACTTGAATTATAACAATATATATATATATATATATATAATATATATATATATATATATATATATATATATATATATATATATATATATATATATATATATATATATATATATAAATATATATATATACATACATACGTAAACACATACATATATGTAAAATATATATATATATATATGTGTATTATAATAATCATACACACACATATATTTTATATATATATATATATGTATATATATATATATATATATATATATATATATATATATATATATATATATATATATATAAATATATATATATATATATATATATATATATATATATATATATATATATATATATATATATATATATATATATATATATACAAATATATAATATATGTGTGTATGTGTGTGTGTGTGTCTGTACAATAATACACACACATAATGTCTATTATTGTACACACACTTACACATACATATATGTGTGTATGTGTGTATGTATGTATGTATGTATGTATGTATGTATGTATGTATGTATGTATGTATGTATGTATGTATGTATGTATGTATGTATGTATGTATGTGTATATATATATATATATATACATATATATATTTATATATATATATATATATATATATATATATATATGTATATATATATATATATATATATATATATATATATATATATATATATATATATATATATATATATATATATATATATATATATTTATATATATATATTTATATTAGTAAATATTCATAACATTTAAAACAAATTTTTATATTGAAAAAACGTTGAAGCAATCACCAGAAAAACATCATAAATATAGAACATATTTATCTGAAGTTTAAAAAAAAAATTATTGAAATCCTACAGTCAGATTTTAAGAAAATTGATTTCAAATAAATAAACAAATCTATGAGTTACACTAAAAAGTTGTTAATTGAAAATAAAGTTTAAGTACTCTATGATATTTTTTATCATTTTTATATATATATTTTTGTAAAAAATTTGTAATAATATACTGATCTACATAAAAATAAGGGTACAACATTGAGTTTTAGAGATCAAATAATAAATAACACGGTTGCCATATAAAATATACTCTGTAGTTAAGAACCGTAGCCATTTTAAAAGTTCAAAAAATTTTTTCATTTTCTCACGCATGCTCACCTAAACATAGCGCTTAAACGTAAACGACCGTGTAACATGTTTGTCAAATACGTAAGGCTCTTATCACGTCCGTAACGTAATTACGTTACGGACGTTATAATTTCGTTACGGACGTTATATATTCAGTCGTACGTACGTACGTACGTCGTACGGACGTTATAAATTCAGATATAAATTTCATAGATATAAATATTTACCTTAAAAAAAATTCATCCGTTAAGTGCCTGACAATTCAAAAACATACGCTATGAATAGATTTATTTTAAAATGACAACGCGATAAAATTTGCCTTAATTACCGCTCATATATAAATTCCTAATAATGCGCAAATACTTTAAAATGAAATAAAGCATTTTTTGTCGGTAACTACCCAAGGGATTTATTATTTTGTCAGTGAATTGTTATTATTACGTACATGACAGTGAGATGGAGGACTTTTATTTAGCAAACACGCAACCTTATAATATAATTAAAACAATCAAATCAGACATTTTAATGTTGTTAATTCAAGATTTCAGCATTAATTTTGGCGACTTAGACACAGTTAAATGTCAGATTTTATTGAAAATCTATGCGAAACATTGCACTATTAACACCGAGGACACGTAAAATCTGAAACCCTAAGCCGCTTTTAACTTCAAAAAACCTTAGACCATTAAATTTAAGTAAGATGAAACTTTTTAAAATATTTAAAATTTGTTTAAGTAGCTGTTTCAGAACATAAGACCATAATTTTTATGACGCAAAATTTTCTAACTATATGTTTAAAATTATTGGACAGGCGAAATGCACCTAATTTCAGAAACACTCATATAACACCCTGTAATGATTAGGTAGACATGATTAGTTTCTACAGATATTTTTCTTTTAGAAATTCCTCCTTATCAACTTAATTTTTTCATTCACGTGTTTCAAGAGAGTCAGATTTCATATTTGAAACTAAATCCTGAAAAGCGACATTTGATAACAAAATTAATATGTTGAGTAGTTTATTTCAATACTTCATATACGATTCATATACAAAAGTACATACGCTTTTTTTTAAATAATGTGATAAACCATACAGTAAATAATATATAACTAGTGACTTTATAGTTGATAACTTTCTGAATTGACACAATTATTCAATAGGCTGAATTGAAATAATACTTTAATTTAGTGAGCTGTAAGATTCAGAATATCTTCTAGCTAATTTAGCAACAAGTTTATAAAGTTTTTTGTTTAAAAAAAATATCATTAAAAAGTATACACCTCTAATAAACAAAATTTAATGAATTTTTTTAAACAAAAAAGTAAAATTTATGACATTCATAAAACATAGATTCGTTCGAGTCAACATAATATAATATTTATATACTATATAACGAAGATTTTCTTGAATCAACGGTCTTAGGAAATGTTTGTCTCTTTAATTTGTATTCGACAATTTTTGGAAGATTTTTTATTTTTATTTAATGACAAAATTTGAATACTTTTCGGTTCCTTTCAATATGAGAAACTTTTTTTGTCCACACAACAAATAATTATATTAAAATTTTGTATAGCAGTAAACAACTTTACTAACCTTGCCAGAATATACCATCATTTTCAGAACTGAAGCAAGCTGGTTTTTGCATTCTAAAATTATAAAATAACAACAACAGCAACAATAGCAACAGCAACAACAGCAACGCCAACATCAACAACAGCAACAATAATAACAATAACATAATAAAATTATTCCAGTAAAACAGTAAAGTTTGAATAGATAAATGTTATATATATATATATATATATATATATATATATATATATATATATATATATATTTATATATATATATATATATTTATATATATATATACATATATATATATTATTATATATATATATATATATATATATATATATATATATATATATATATATATATATATATATATATGTATATACACATATATATATATATATATATATATATATATATATATATATATATATATATATATATATATATATATATATATATATATATACATATATATCAGTGATATTTTCGTACACGAGAACGAAAACGAGAACGAAAAAAAAAGCCTTTCGTTTACGAAAACGAAAACTAAAACGAAATTTATTTTAAGAACGAGAACAGAATAAAAACGATAATTTTAAATTTTCGAACGGAATAAAAACTGAATCGAAAGTTATTTTAAAACGAAATATTTTCGTTCTAGATTTGAAACAAGTTGAATTATTTGATATATATAATTATTATATTACAATACATTATAATGATATATTATTCGAACTTAATTGAATTTTATTCAATTCAGTTCGAATAAGTTTAGTTATGATATAGTTCGAATATATTTATCCGAATATATTTTTTCGAACTAAAAAAAATCAAACTGTAAGACCAACACAACTACGCGATGAGTTTGAGTAAACTTTTTGCTGGTAGGAAGAGGAATAGTTCAGTATGGAAATGGTTTAAATACGATGCGTCATCCGACAAATCAGTATGTTTAGTTTTACTTGATGGTGAAAAAGTATGAAATACAAAGTTGTGTGGAAAGAACCCAACAAATCTTAAAGTTAGTTTATCTGTAACAAACGACTCATTTTTATCATTTTAGAGTAATTATTCAATAACGTATACGAACTTATTTATTCATTAATTGATAAACAGATAGATAAATAAACATATAAATATACAAACAAAAAATTATATAAATATGTTTATTTTTTTCTAGCTACATTTAGCAAGAAACCATAAGTCTGTACACGTTGAGCTGGAAGAGTCGGAATTAAAGAAATTAAGTGAAAAAAAGCAAACAGGGATAAAGAGAAAAGCAGTGGATGAAAATGGACCCACTCTTTTAGAATCGTCCTCAAATCAGAACCAGACCTTGATTCAATGCATTAATCGTTGGAATACCGCATGGCCTATTAATTCACACGAGCATAAAATTCGACTAAACTCTCTTATTCAAATGATAATAGCAACATGTAATCCAGTGACATTGGTGGATAATGCGAGTTTTAGAAAGTTAGTTAATACCTTGGATTATAAATTTTCATTGCCTGCTTCTGCCAAAATTACTAGCCTACTTAATGAAGAATTTACTGTTTTAACGAGAAAACTTCGTGACTTCATATCTGAAGGCAGGCGCTTCACAATATGCCTTGATGGCTGGACTAAAAAAGGTCTTACTGCGTCCTTTTTAGGAATTTCGGTTTGTTTTTATCACTTCAAATCCAAAAAACCAATACATGCTCTGCTTAATTTGTATCTTGTGAAACATCCACATACAGGTGAACAAATTGCTAATTGTTTTGAAAAATGCCTAAAATATTGGAATATTTCCAGAGAAAAAATATTGCTTGTTATTTCGGACAATGGAGCAAACATGGTCAAAGGCATAAAGTTGTCGAGAATGAAAGCTCAAGCTGAACGTGATATACTTATTGAATTAGAAAGTTAGGTTAATGAAGAGCAGATAACAGATCTGGAAGACGATGAGAATATAACAAATAGTGAAGAGTGGGAACATGTTGACTTGATAGTTGATGTAATAGAAAACGTAGCATTTAGAAGATTGGGATGCATTGCACATGTTATACAGCTAGTTGTAAAACTTGCATATGATGGTAAATATCATGGCTTACTTTTGAAGGTACGTGGATTAGTGGGAAAAGTTCGCAAATCTTCTGTTGCATTGGAAAAAATTATCAACAAAGGTGGTAAGGCTGTGATCAGCGACTGTTCTACAAGATGGAACAGCACTTACTTTATGGTTCGGAGATTTCTGGAAATAAAGACATCTATCAACGAAGTGCTTGGAGACCTTAACATTGATTCACTTGCCAATAGCGAATGGATAATGCTTCAGGATTTTGTCAATCTTTTAGAACCTTTTGCCAATGAAACTGATATTCTTCAGACGGATGCATTTTCACTATCCAGTGTTATACCTTCAATACTTAATTTAGAATGTCACCTTGAGCAATTTGGAGATGCCAAAGATGTAGCAGTTAAAATGCTTGAAGATCTACGCCGTCGTTTTGCCGTTCTTTTGCAACCAAACGATCCTAATTTTAATCCACTGCCATGTGCCGCATGTCTACTTCACCCCACATGTGCAATAGCTCTTTTAGGTAATGACCATACACAAATCAGAGAGTGTGCAAAGAAATACATTTTGTCATAGGCTAAAATATATATACAGAAATAAATGGATTAACAAAATGGAAATTTTTAGCGGCAAAACAGCGAGTAGAAAAAATAAAGCTTATTCCAGGTAATGAAGCACAAAATGAACTCAACAAATACTTTATTGAAATAAGGAACAGCTCTATGTGCCAAAATGCTTTAAATTTCTGGAAGATGAGACGTGCTGTTTACCCACATATTGCACCATTAGCTGAAGACCTCATTGCAGCTCCTGCAACTCAAGCATATGTTGAAAGACTTTTTTCAATCTGTGGCTTGCTCACAAATGGACGGAGAAATCGAATGTCAGCGTCATTGGAAATGCGAGTTTTCTTAAAACTAAATTCTCATCTAGTCTAGATGATAATCATATAATCACTAGGCCCTTTATTTGTAAAACATATGAGTAATTATTAAAGTCTATACAATAACTATTCATTAGTTTTTATTGTTACCAAACTTGAGGAGTTTTTTTTATACCTAATAATTAAAATTTTTTTAAGTTTTAGAGCAATAAGGACAGGTTGTTGTTGTGTTTTTTATTAAGGGCGGTAAGCGGGGCTCTAAACTTCTAGCCATGGGACTGGGTGTATTACATTTAATTAAGTTCTCATTTTTTTGTTTGTTTATAGACCTAAGACTTACTTCTTTTAATTATATATGCCTATATTATTTATAAATTATACTAAATTATAATTAGATGAGATAAAAAATTTATACGACAAACGAAAATTGAACTAAATAAAAACTAAAACTAAAATTATTTTAAGATGAACTGAATAAAAACTAGAACTAAATTTATTTACTGAACTGAATAAGAACTAGAACTAAAAAATTTGCCTCTAAACTTAATAAAAACTAAAACTAAAATTATTTTCCGAACAAAAATATCACTGATATATATATATATATATATATATATATATATATATATATATATATATATATATATATATATATATATATATATATATATATATATATATATATATATATATATTATATATATATATATTTATATATATATATATATATATATTTTTAGCAGAAATAATTTCTTTTAAGACCGAGTTCTTTTGAAGCTGTATTTGAAAAAAATGAGAATGCAAGTATCACTTAATAAAATAGTATTTGCTTATTGAAGTTTGAGTGAATTTTACAAATAAAAAGAAGGACATTTATTTAAAAGTACAATGAACAAATAACATATAACAACTCGAAGAGAGCAATGCTGTTTTATTGCCAAAATTGTAAAAAAAAACAATGGGAACAAAAAAGTTTTAAATTATAAATCAAAAGCGGTCTTCAGAGTCAAAGTTTGTTCGGAGGATAATAATAAAGTGATGTTTTGACTAAAAAATTAAAAAAAAAAATTATCTTTTGATTATGTAAAAGTTATAAAAAGGCTGAAAAAAAAACTAAACTACTTTCTACTCCATCTTTATTTAATAGCACCACCAATCAACTTAATGCTGCGTCTTTGTGTCCATCGTTGGCGTCAATTGAACTTAAGGAAAACGGAAAACCTCATACCGCTTTGAATAACGCAAGAGAGATCAAGTTCGTGTTTCAGACCCAACCAAACCAGATTAAACTGAGAATTCATCATTGGATTACCTACACATCATTGCATTTACAGAATCGTGATGCGCTACAACATCCTTAAGAATTCTAGACAACTACAATTTCTTTCTTTCAAATTAAATAAGTTGTGAATGCGGCATGGTCGTCTATGTTAGAAAAGATATACTTTTATTTAAATGAAAGTGATAGACAAATGGAAAACAAATATGGTGTCAAAATTTAATTTGAAATGATATTATGTTAATTGTTTGTACTTATCGCCATCTGTTCCATCAATATTTTACAAATCAATAAGTTAATCAAATATGTTTAAGCACTTCTTTGTGGTAATTGTTTTAAATGTTGGTGGTTTTAATTGTAGTTTTATCAGTTGAAGTGGTTTGATAAGCCAACGTAAAAGTGGTAGCCTAGTAAACTTGTTTCACTTACAATCAATAATTGTTTCCTACCACAGTTTGTCACCAAACTGATTTTCTTTTGCTCTTGACCTAATGCTGTTAGATGACCCTTATTGTTCTTTAATGTTACAATTGTTCTTCCGCTTTAATGTACTCCAAAAAATTATCTTTACGGTTTGCTCTTAGGGGTTTCAACCATGAATTATCAACCATTACTTCAGAATAAACAAAGTTATATTTATTAGGGCCTAAAAGTAATCAACTGACCAACTTATTTTCAATTAATTTAGGACACGATACTCTTTGTTACTCAAAGACGCATACATTTTTCTTATAAATAGCACATTCCTAAGTTTCATTGCGTTCCTCAGTTTGAATAAGTGTTATTCAAAATAACTTAATAACTTAATTCTTTTATTAAAGCAGCTACTAAAGAGAAATTAAAACGGTTTATAAAGTTTTGCTATGCTTCTAGTATAAGTTTTGCTTAGCTTCTTAAAGAAAGTATTAAAGTCTTTTACAACAAGAAAAATTGTTTGGTAAAAAAGCTTATTGCTGACGTGATACTAATGTTTGAGACTAACGTCATCTACGCTTGCAAGTCTAACCCAAAAAATTTATATTCTTATTAAAACAACCAAAAGTCGTGTAAGAGTGATATTTGATCTTATTTTTTTCACAATTGTTTAATAAGAAGTATATAGCAGACTGTCTAAATAATCAATTTATTAAGGTCTATATAATCAATTTATCTCAAATGTCTAAATTTTCTCAAAGAACCGCAATAGTTTGTTCACCAGTTTCAAGCTCTTTGTTTAACTGTCATAGTATTAAAAAAAATATTTATTCACGGATGGCATTTTGAATGCTGCTGTTGTTGATGAAATTTATCTCTTAGTGCTCAAAACCTGTTCCGTTCCGTGTGTTTTTCTATCATATATCAAGTTATCAAAAAGTTTATTATTTAAAAGTTTTATTTAAAAGTTGTTCATTAAATTTTGTTATTTATTTAAATTTTATTATTTAAAAGTTTTTCTATTATTTATCAAGTCATAAATTTTGGGTATGTGCCACTGGGCGGAAACTCACTAAAATAACGCTTATATTAAAAAAAATTGTGCTAATCCTAGAAATTAAAGGCTTATTTCCATTATCTCCGCAGCTTGAAAAATAATGAAAACAATGATGCGGAACGTTATGGCTGAACCTCTTTTTCATTACCTTACAGTTACTTTTTCATTGCCTTACAGTTAGAGGTAATGAAAAAGTAAAACTTTTTTATTACCTCTAACTGTAAATTTTTATATTCGCATCAACAATTTTTTCAGATTTAGATTGTGCTTTAAAAGTGTTCTTGAAGTAATGGATACCATTACTGAAACTTAAAGCAATGACTGGGTCATATTGCTTATCTTGCTTGGCTTTGCAAAAGCTTTTTATCAAGTTTGTCATGTTTTGCTTTATCTTAAGTTGGCTGGCTGTTTTTTGCAACAAGTTTCACAATTGCCTCGAAATTTTCTTGGCTGTAGAAAACAGTACATTGTTTTAGGCAAGTTCTTTTCTTATGGATGCCTGTCTTAAGTAGCTTTCCTAAAAGAATGGTCATAGGACCTCTACTAGTTTTGCTTTTCATAAATGACATGCCCGAAATAGTTACAAAAAACTTGCAAACGGTTTGCCAATGATTTATTCAGCCGGTTGTTTGCCAAAATAAAGCCAGTTATTAACTTTACTTTGCATATTTTTATTAAGACATTAATAATTTATGTAATGGATCAAGACTTTGGTGAACGGAATTCAGTATAAATAAATGCAAAATTCTAAAGTTTCACATTGGTTTCTCAGAATTTAACATCTCTTGACTATTTTGGACACAAATGGTAAAGAAATGTCAAAATGGACAGAGTTCGACACCTCAAATAGTCAAGAGATGTCAAATTTTTTAGAGAGAATTTGACATCTCTTCACAATTTTGACATTTTTCTTTAAGCTTTATTTGTCACAAGTATCCTAATTAAACTTAATAAACTTAAATAAACTTAATAAATCTAAATAAACTTAAATGTTCTTAGCAGATTAGTCAAGCTACTTAAATAAAGTAAACTGTTTAGTTTGGATACTCAAAAGAGCTTTTAAAAAATGGAACCCATACATGTTTGTAAAGATTTATAGATCGTATATGAGTTCGATATTGGAGTACTATGCATGAGTTTCGAGCTGTTTCCTACAAAGATTATTAAAATATTTAAAATCATTTTACCCTAGAGCCACCAAACAATTGCGTAATACAAACCGCGTAAAGCATACCTTTGTCTCAGCTCATTAGCTAAGCGTAGATCAAAAGGTGATCTAATTCAGGCTTTAAGAACTTTTTCAAAAGATTTTTGAAAAAATCAATTGGTGTCAGGAAACTAGTCAAGCAAGTTCTTTCGAATAATAAAGTTCTACAAGTTATCTTTGTTGTGGGAAACACCAAATTAAACAATAAGTCACAAGAAATTGTTATTTAAAACCATTGGTGCCAACATTGGATTACTTTGCCTTTTTTTATATTAAAAGTAGTATTATAAATTGTAGTAGTAGTAGTAGTAGTAGTAGTAGTAGTAGTAGTAGTAGTAGTAGTAGTAGTAGTAGTAGTAGTAGTAGTAGTAGAAGTAGTAGTAGTAGGTAGTAGTAGTAGTAGTAGTAGTAGTAGTAGTAGTAGTAGTAGTAGTAGTAGTAGTAGTAGTAGTAGTAGTAGTAGTAGTAGTAGTAGTAGTAGTAGTAGTAGTAGTAGTAGTAGTAGTAGTAGTAGTAGTAGTAGTAGTAGTAGTATGAAAATCTGCCGCACATTTAAACAAGGGTTAAATAGTGCGGAGCAATCAGTAAAAAAACGGCTGATAAGTTCTTATTATTTTACGTATTAGTTGTGATTGAGTTTGATTAGCATTATTAACTTTTTATTTATTTATTATTTTGTATACTTTATATAGATGAATCATACCATTGCGTTTATGTCTACGATCTAATGGGGTGATGTTATATTTTTTTGCATCTAAGTTTAATTTTTAAATTTAGTTTCAGAGGAGAGGATTCTAGGCTTGTACTGCAAATTTAAGGTGTCGACTTACGGAACATGTATATACCATATTTCAGAGACTAACATGACAACTGACAATAGCACATTTTAGTAGACCAATTATTTTACAAGCTGATGAGGCAGATTTACATGCTTGAGCTGAAGATTTAAGATTGTATGATATTAAAACACCAAAATTTTGATATCTTTTAAATTTATTTTTGCAAGTAATTAAGTGTTATTAACATACAATATATGTAGAACGGAGAGGTTGTCTGGAAAGTCATTGATATAAATAAGGAATAAAACTGGACCGAAAACTGAACCTTGTGGAGCCATACTTCAATATCAGCCATTCCAAAACCAATTCACCAAAAAACAACCTGTTGTATTTGGTTAGATAAAAAAAATCGAACCATATGTGAATTTTGCCTTGAATGCCGTTTTTTAATACTTTACCTAAAAGTCTTTTATAATAAATTTGGTCAAAAACATTTTCAAAGTCAAAAAAGATTTTGTTGACAGGATATTTATTTGCAACTGATTCAGTTGAAAAAATAAGTGTTTCTAGAAGATTTGTTACACTAGCTTTGTTGTTAACAAAACCATGTTGACTTCAATGTATAAAGTTATTTGCATATATATAATTGATTATAGCACTTTTTATGATACGTTTCATTATTTTGCATGTTACTGATGAAATTGGTCTGTAATTGGCTGGATTTGTTTTATTTCCTTTTTTAAAGAGTGGTGTAATGTTTGCATAAAACCATTTATTGAGAATAACTCTAGAATCAAGTTATATTTGAAAAAGAAGTGTAAGTGCTATAGACCGAGCTAAATCACATTAGTTTTAAAACACGTTGGTGAACTTTATTTAATCTAACTTATTTGCAGGTGTTTAAATAAAATTAAATATTTTCAACCGTAGCTGGTGTAATTATAAGATCTGAGACAACAGCATTGGTGCAAAAGTTTACACTTGGAATCAGATTTTTTTTTTCTTGTGCAAATACTGAACTAAATTGCTTGTTAAGAATGTTCTCATTTTCTGTTTTATTAGTAATACTTTGTGTTGTAGCATTATCTAATATCGTTGAAATGCCATTTTTGACAACTTTTTTTTTTGAAACATGCATGCAGGCGTTTTGGATTCTTATTCTTTGTAGCTATCGAATACTAAATTGTTTGAATAAATATCTTTGTTTTTATTTCAAGGGCTTCCGTTTTAGTGATTGAATCTCCGTAAAGTAATAGACATTTTGCACGTGATTATGTATAACGGTGCCAGAGTTTGTTTTTACATTTAATTTGGCAAAGAAGGTTATTGTTCATTCACGAAGGTCAA